CACAGCGTACTGAGTCTGTCTCTCTGGAGAACCCATAATATTGAGTGAAACGAGTCAGGCAGAGAAAAAGAAATTCCACATGTTCTCACTCATTGGTGAGAGCTAAAAAAAAAAAAAAAAAAGAAAACCGGAGGGGGGTGGGGTGGGGAAGAAGATATAACAACTATACTTCCATGAAGTTGTTACAACAAGCAAACGCAAAGGACATTCTTGGGGGGGAGGGGAGAGAGGGAGGAGGGAGGGAGGTGTCGGTGACGGGCCATAATAATCATATACAGTGTATATTGACAAAATAAAAAAATAAATAAATAAATAAAGTTCAGTGTGCCAGTAAATAGGAGAAGAAAGGTAAGTAGACTCACTTAGCACCAGAAATTTTTAGATACAGAAAACAATACATTACTTTAACCTTAATAATTGCTTAAAAGATTGCTCTTTTGTATAAAAGAAAAGTTTATACATTTCTACTTATTCATATGCATACCTATATTTATATATGTGTGTTTTTCTCAGGAATGATGAGCAGAATAACCAATGTGACATGCGAGAACTATTGTCAAAAACCAATTACTACCACATTGATGAAGTTAGGCTCCTAGAGATATGTGTGTGTGTGTGTGTGTGTGTGTGTGTGTGTGTGTGTGTGTGCATGTGTGCACATATATAACAGAAACAGGTACATGAGAGAACTCAGTTCATTCACTTCCAAGTTTTGTAATCTTTGGCAAGATGCTTAAATCTCAGGGCTCAAATGCCTAATTTTCAAATTGAATTTATTTCCAATTGAGTTACTTCATATTGGGTTCTATTCATCTCATCTGTCATAAATATTGTATATAAAAACAAATATTTTAAACTTAAGGCATGGGAAACAACTTTGTAAAATATTAACAAATTATTATCTTTATGATAATACTGAAGGATGCCTCCTTGACGTGCTAAATTCCAGATTCTCATAATCCAACTACAGAATTAAAATGAAAATTCATACATTCTTCTGCTATAACAGTGGAACAATGAAGGGAGAAGTTGGTCTAATGTTGCTTCCCAAATTAGTGTGGCTGTTCACATGAACACCTGAATAATTTAAAAATTTCCAATAATTAAATCTGACTACCTTGTCTTAGATCACAAATATGTGCAAGATACCATGTAGAAAACAAAATGAATAATATATATGTCTTATTCTCTGAAGCTGCAGTGTAGCAAAAGCAACGTTAAAAGCACAAAAATGAGAACGAAATAAACAACTTTTACATGCGTAGATGCTTACGCTCACTTAACTTGGTGTTTGGGCATGAAAGAAGGTATTATCAAGCATCATGTTTCCCTGTCTAAAACATGTGAGGATGATAATTACCTTACAGATGAAAATTCTAGTGGAAAATAACTCAAGCAAGTTATCAAGTACATTCGCTGTGGAAAGGGCCTCCAATCCCAGTCTCTCTTTCAGTATCTGACACAACAGACTTGGAGGTTTTTGTAGGTGAATTAACAGTCTGACCTAGTCTCCGATACAGCCAAAAAATAAAATGATATATAGAAAATAAAACCAAATTCATTAAAGTAGAAAAAGAGAATTTTAGAGAAAAACACTGTCACTTTCATGCAACTTGTCTTCAAGATATTTAGGTGATACCTTAGACTTAGACTTAGTCATTCCCATTTCAAAATAAAATAGCTCTCTATCTTAGTTGATCTCTTCCAAAAATTTTGAAGGAGCCATTCTTCTAATATCTCAAATTTAGAAAATGTTCTCTTTGGGCAACACCTCTTCTCAGTATACAATTTCTACTTTTTCAATCCCATAAATTTCACCTTCCCCCTCTTTCTTACATTTTGTCCTCTCATCTGTGTCTCTTATTCTCTCAGTTTATCAGGCTCCTCACTGGTGAATCCTATCTTCATCCAATCTGATTATTCTAATCAATCATTCCAATTGTCTTCCCAATCATCCTAAAATCTCTTGGCCTCCTAAACTGCCAATGTCTTAGACTTATAAAGCCCCAGAACTTTTTATTCTTTGTCCCTCTACCTAAGCAAGAATTTTAAAAAAACATATAATTATAGTAAATGGATCTGCTAATAAATTCAAGCTGTTTTTCCTAAACAAGAACCCCAGTGTTAAGGAATTTTTAAAATTTGCTTCTAGTAGGTCACTACAGATTTATTATCAGCAACTGTTTAAAAGCATCCTGATTTTCCTCAAATCAACTAATGTACCATCTCTTACTTTACTCTCCAAAGATGGCCACGTTGTCTGCTGTACTGATAAGACCAAAGCCGTTTAGTAAGAACTCCCACCTTTTCCTTCCTTCACCCCCAAATTTCTGTGTTCTTTCTTTCTGTGGAAGAAGGATCTCTTCTCATCTCTAAGTCTAAGGCCTCTCTCCATGTGTTTTCAATGCAATATTCTACTGACTATTGTTCAATAACTTTCTCTACTCTTCATGCAATATCTCAACATTTATGTTTTCATGTATAAAATATATGCTAAGCACCTACTGTGTGCTCTGTATTATGGAAGATTAGGAGTTACTATGGTGAATTGTTTTCTGTCCACATGTTAGTTAATCTACGTAAGGGAATTTTGACAATTAAACAGACCAATAATTAAGCTGCACAAAAAAGCAAAAGTTTGAAAAGAACACAGTGGGAAACAGAAGAGAAAACTAATCTTGCCTTGAAGAAATTACTGAAAATTTTTCCAGAAAACATGACATAAACTTCAAAATCTGAAGAATAATCAGAAGTGTCTCAGGTAGAAGGAGC